GCCTATGACCTTGAACTTTCCAACCTGAGGACTAACTTCTGTGGAATAACTTCTACTCTATATAAATGACCCAGTGTGTGGCATTCAGTGATAGCAACAGAAAACAGACCAAAGCATCTTCTCCCTGAGGGGCCCCTCTTTGTCTGGGTTGAGCCAGCCCTCCTAGACCTCTTCTGGTGTGCTTGCAAGGTGACCTTAAATATAAATCTGTCCTCCCTGGCCTGGAGAGATGGCTCAGCCATTAAAGGCTAGGCTCACAACCAAAACCATAAATCTGTCCTCCCTGTTGTGGACTGATGCCTCACTAGGAAGGCCACTGTCCTTCAGAACCCTGACAGTATGTTGTGATCTACAGGCTATGACATCAGTCTGCAACTGTACAGGTTGTTGGTCTGCTCAGCTATTGATGCCACCTTATTGCTATAGGCTTTGGATGCAATCTATCTGGTTCTTTATTGGAAAGCTACAAAATTTTGGAATTTTGCAAATGCAATCTTCTATGTGAATTTAAATTTAGCACATTGAGCCATCGCCCAAAGGGTCTGCTCTTTCTTACTCTTGTTTTATTTATTTATTTATTTATTTATTTACTTGCTTACTTATTGGTTTTTCAAAGCAAGGTTTCTCTATGTAGCCTTGGCTGTCCTGGAACTCCCTCTGTAGACCAGGCTAGCTTCGAACTCACAGAGATCTACTTGCTTCTGCCTCCCAAGTGCTTTTTTTTTTTTTTAAATTTTATGTGTATGGGTTATCTTACTGCATGTATGCTTGTTCATCATATTATGCCTGGTGCCTACAGAGGCCAGAAGAGGGCATTGGACACCCTGGCACTGGAGTTAACAGATGGTTGTGAGCCTCCATGTGGTTGCTGAAAATTAAACCCAGGTCCTCTGGAAGAGCAGTCAGTGCTCTTAACCTCTGTGCCATCACTCCAGCCCCCATTTTTTTTTAAAATATAGCCTTGGCTGTCCTGGAACTCACTCTGTAGATCAGGCTGGCCTCAAACTCACGGAGATCCACCTGCCTCTGTCTCCTCCTGAGTGCTGGGATTAAAAGTGTGTGTCACCACTTCCTGGCTCATCTTTTAATCTTTATTTTGGTGTCTCCTGTGTAATTCAAGCAGGCCTTGAACTCATGGTCCTCCATCCTGGCCTCTCAAGTGCTGGGGCTCCTGGTGTGCAACACCAGGCCTGGGTCTCAACAGCCCCTGTCATTGTGGAAAGGCCTGGTCATTTCTTGTCAGGAATGAATTGCTCACCCGCTGCCTGATGGTTTCCTGCCCTCTGTTTCCTCACTTCTCTTTCTGGAACACCTGTCACTCAGGGCCCTGGACTTCCTGTGCTGACTCCTCACTCCCTGCAGGGTCTTGCTTTAGTCCTTATGTTTTATTTGTTTGGTACCACCCCCACTTCTGAGACAGTGGTTTCTTCTGAGTGTTTCAGTTCTGCTTTGCTATTTTTTCCCTGTACACGATTATATCATTGCCCATTTGTCTTATAAGCATACTGTCTTACCTCGTGAAGAGGTCAATTATAATTTTCTTTTTAAAATTTTTTACGTATATTTATTTTGTTTGTGATGTCTGTGGAGAGCCTGCAAAAATTGGGTCTCTTTTTTTATCATGTGGGTTCTGGGGACCAAACTCAGTTTTTAGGCTTAGTAGCAAGCATTCTTATCCACTGAGCCATCTCATTGGCCACCAAGTTAATTTTTAAAAAAACAATTACTTTCTTCTGTCCTCAGTTTCCAAATTCTATATGTTGGCTTTCTTTTCTATCCATAACAGGCTTTCCTTGGATGCCCATGAATCACTGGATGTCTCCTCACAACAGAAGAAATGAACAAGGCTGGACAGTGGTGGCACATGCCTTTAATCCCAGCATTCAGGAGGCAGAGGCAGGTAGATCTCTGTGAGTTCAAGGCCAGCCTAGTCTATAGAGTGAGTTCCAGGATAACCAGGACTGTTACACAGAGAAACCCTGTTTTGAAAAAAAAATGAGAGCAAGAGGTAGAGACAGAGAGAGAGAAGAAAGGAAGGAATGGAGGGAGGAAAGAAGAAAGGAAGGAAGAAAGATGTCTGTGGGTGACAGTTTGTTAGTTTAGGTTCAGTATTCCTTCACTATCGATGACTTCAGGATTTTCCTTTTGGAATGGCCAGCATATAATTGTAATGACTTACAGGCAACAGTCTAACTAATACAACAATGGCTAGTTGTGAATAGAAAGTCCAAGAATCAGTAGTTGCCCAGTCCCACAAGGCTGCATGTCTCAGCTGGTCTTCTATATATACTAGAATCCTGAAGAAATATGCTCCAATGAAGGAATAGATGTACTAGCAAGGCAAGGGCAAGCAGGCAAAGAGCAAAAGCTTCATTCTTCTATGTTATTATATAGGCAACCAGCAGAAGATGTAGCCCACCTCAAGATCCATATCAGAGGTGTGTCTTCCTACCTCAAAGGTCCAGGTTAGAAGCAGATTCACTCACTTCAAACTAAGCAGAAAAATCTCTCACAGAAGTGCCCTGCATTTCTGGACTGTTGTTACAGATATAGTCAAGTTGACAACCAAGAGTAGCCATCTCAAGACTGATAGAGACAATCAACACTGACTCCTTGCATACACACACACACACACACACACACACACACACACACACGCATGGTGTACACATACCCACATGTGCACAGAGATTCCACTCAATCATACACATACAAGTACATGTGCAAACAAAGCATTCCTTTGCTGTGTGTTTCTGGGTCCTGTGTTGAAGCACACTCACCATTTATGACCACACCACTGGATGCACTGGTCATGTTTCACCTGGCAAATTCCCTCTAGTGGGATATGCACTTGTCTAAATTACCATTTCTATTGCTGTGAAGATACACCATTACCATGGCAACTCTTATAAGGAAAACATTTAATTGGGGCTGGCTTACAGTTTCAGAGGTTTAGTCCATTATCATCATGATAGGAAGCATGGTGGCATGCTGGAGAAGGAGCTGAGAGTTCTATACCTGGATCTGTAGGCAGCAGGAAGGGAATGTCACACTGGACATGGCTTGAGCATCTGAGATCTCAAAGCCTGCCCCCCCAGTGACACACTTCCTCCAACAAGGCCAAACCTTGTAATGTGCCACTTCCTATGGGCCTGTGGGGGCCATTTTTATTTAAACCACCACAAAAGTTTTCCTAGCCAAAGGTGGCTCAGCAATTAAGAGTACATATTGCTCTCAAAGAGGACCTGAACTCCATTCCCAGCACCCTCTCAAGTGGCTCACAACCACCTATAACTTTAGCTCCAAATGACTCAACACCTTCTTCTGGGCTCCATAGCAGCCATACTCATATACAGACAATTAAAATTAAAAAATAGCTAAGTGTAGTGGCACACACCCTTAGTCCCAGCACCCAGGAGTCAAAGACAGGCAGATCTCTGTGAGTTACAGGCCAGCTACATAGTGGGGTTATCTATCTATCTATCTATCTATCTATCTATCTATCATCTATCTATCTATCTATCTCATATATATGAAAACATAAAATAACAAAACAAGATGAGCACCCTGAAATGCTCATTTGAGTTTTTCAAACTCAGTGAAATAGATGGTCAGATGTGGATTACTGTGGACTGACTGATATATCCTCTCAAAATTCATATATTGAACCTTAATCCCCAATGTGATGATTTTAGAGATAAGACCCTGGAGGGTTGGAGTGATTAGGTCATGAGGTAGAACCTTCATAAATTAGATTGTTACCCTTCAAAGAAGATACTCCCCATCTATCATGTGGGGACAGGAAAAGCTAGTCTGAAAACCAGGAAACAGATTTCCCAGACACTGTATCTGCAAGTGTCTTGCTTGACCCTGAACTTTTTAGCCTTCAAAATTCTAAGATATAATTTCTATTATTTAGGTCCCGAAGTCTGTGGCATTAATATGCCAGTCACAGTACACTGAAACATACTGAAAGACCTAAAAAGTAATGTTAATGATGGACTAACCTAAAAACCAATATCTGTTCCTTGGAATTTGCTAGCTTCCTCTCACAAGGCCCTGAGATAAGAAGAATTCACACTGCCCCTCCTTTCCTGTGAGTCAACAGGTGGTAAATAGGGTCAAGAGATAGCTGTAACTCTGGTTTGCCCAGACAAGATTAATTAGCACACCTGAAGCCCTAAGGTCTGCTGACCCTAATAGCAGACCATCCGGCCTCCAAGGGTCACGTAGTACTCAATGGACAGAGGGTCCCACCCCCTCCCTAAGCTTGTGGGTTTGCCTTTAAAAACACCTGGGCCCAGGGGAGGGGGCTTCTCCCTAGCCTGCGTGCTGGAGGAGCCCGTTTGCGCAAACGTTTCCTGATCATTAAAGCCTCTTGCGTTTTGCATCAACTGGACTGGACATTGAGTTCTTGGGGGTATCGACCAAACCTGGAAGACTCCTCATTCTGAGGGTCTTACAATACCTCACATACAGTGAAATACTGTAGTGTGTGTATGCATGTCCTGGGCGCCTTAGCAAAGACTGGCAGGAAATGAGAACAGATCATAGTTCCAGAAACGGAATGTAGGGGGTCTGGCCCAGACTAATTAAAAAAAAAAAATCTAAAAAAGAGAACCTGAAAAGGATCCTGGACTTGGTTCTACGACACGAAGATGTATTGGCTGCTTATGAGCTGGGCATCTAGTTGTGTTTTGTAGGAAACACGGAACTGCTTGCTTAATACACTTGACAGAATCATGGGCTAAAAAGAGGGGAGGGGTTTCACCGTACTCTTTCACGTTCTACTGGATCACTCTGGAATGCTGTCTGTGGTTCCTGGATGGAGAAGTTTAAGGAAACTCACAGACCGAGACACACTTGCAAATTGTTTGAGAGCTGGAGAGCTGGGGTGGATCAGTACATAGGAATTTTTTTTTTCCTGTCTGCTTGGGCGACCCGACCGGAAATACGCGTAGGACCGTGCCGCTGCGCAATCGCAGTGCTCCTCCGTCACCGCGGTAAAGAAAACCCCTGTGTTTCGCTATGAGCGCCCGGGTAGCTCGGGCCGGATGGGCCTGGGGGTCCTGGGGACGCCGCGCCGCCTCGAGCCTCCGGGAGCCGCCGCCGGATGCCGTGGACGTGGCGGAGCTGCTGCGAAACGCCAGCTCGGCTGAGGAGGGGGCCCAGGAGGCGGTGGCGCGGCGGCCGCCCTCACGCTGCTCAGTGCTGCTCTTTCCCGGACAGGGTAGCCAGATGGTCGGCATGGGTGGCGGCCTGCTCGCCTTCCCGCGCGTGCGCCAGCTCTACGAAGCGGCTCACCGGGTGCTGGGCTACGATCTGCTAGAGCTGTGCCTGCGCGGGCCTCAGGAGGACCTGGACCGCACCGTGCACTGCCAACCCGCCATCTTTGTGGCCTCACTGGCCGCCGTAGAGAAGCTTCATCACCTGCAACCGGCGGTGAGCCGAGGAGAGTCTGCTGGGTCTGCAGGGTCCTCAGTGTGGTTCCTGTTGTTCGCCATTCTGATCATTATTTAGTATTCTAGACCTCCTGCACGAAACAAGGATCCCTGCTCCAAGGGTGTTTGCATCTTAGAAGAGACACAGTTCACACTTAATGCACCGAGTTAATATAGTACATTAAAGATGAATGTGTTGGGCTGGAGAGGTGGCTCTGAAGTTAAGAGGACCTGGGTTAGGTTCCCAGCACCCATGTGGCGGGTCACAATCATCCATAATTCCAGTTCCATGGGATCCAACACCATTTTATGGCTTCTGCAGGTACCAAATATGTGTATCACGTGCACATAACACTCAAGCAAGCAAAACATTCATACACATAAATCTTTTTTTAAATTTTATTTATTTATTGAGGTTCTGGAGAGAACACTGGTTAAGAACACTAACTGCTCTTCCAGAAGCTGCATTCAATTCCCAGCACCCACATGGCAGCTCATAACTGTAACTCCAGGGATTTGACCAGCTTGGGCTACATAGCATGTTCTAGTCAATCAGGGCTACATAGTGAGACCCTGTCTTAAAAAGACAGAAAATGGCATGGCAGATATTATATTATGTGGCTTCACTTGCTGTTGAAGTAGAGTAATACCAGGACAATACATGTTAACTGGTGCTGAGACCCTCTGTTTTACCACCTCGTAAGATGGAATGACAGGAGGCTCAAAGTTACAGGAATGAGTATGGTCCTATGGCACATTTTACTAAGTGCTTACTTTGAGCCAAGCCTATGCTGAGATTTTTATAGAGATTAGCATTACCTACTTACCTTAGTAGTAGTGTAAAGTAGATCTGGGGGGACTGAAATCCAGTTCCCTGTAGCCTGAAAAGTCATATTTTTAATGCCTGTACTTTTGTTTTGGTTGGGAGCATGGGAAGGATGAACTGTAATATGTTGTTGAACTCAAAATCCTCTAGCTTCAGTCTCCCCCAGGGCAGTGATTATAGCCATGAGTTGTCATAGGCAGTGTGCATGTGACTTCTGGACCCCATATGCCCAAGAAACTGCTCTTGGCAGAGGCAAGAGGATCCAGAGCTCTGGGTCATGGTGTGACTAGGATTGGTGCTAGCCTACTTTTCTAAGGAAGGCCCTCATCAAGAAAGGGCTAAACTCAGGGGTTGCTGGCCTAGCTCTGTGTGCTCTCTTCTAGCTGGAGTACCAGACCAATAGAATCAGCTCATGGTGACACTTAACTGCCCTGCCAATTCCCAGGTGCATAACCTAGGACTGAATGCTCGGTACCCACAGGTTCAGACTCATGTCCTGCTCTGTCACCACAGGTCATTGAGAACTGTGTTGCTGCAGCTGGATTCAGCGTGGGAGAGTTTGCAGCCCTTGTGTTTGCTGGAGCCATGGAGTTTTCTGAAGGTACACGGGAGTTTGGCTTGTGTTCTTGCTGGGTTCAGTGGGGACAGGGAACTCTGGACAGTGTTGCTAGACCCACTCCAAGATTGTCAGAAAGGGAACACAGGGCTGCAGAGGACCCTGGAGCTCAAGGACCAGATTCCGTTGATCCTCTCTAAAGTCTAAAGGACTCAATGCAGGTTTCCTGTATCATCTCATGAAGTCTATTCCCCTGGTCACCTTCCCTCACTGCCCTCAGCATTCCTTTTTAAATTATATAAAATTGTGTGTGTGTATGTATATGTGTATGCATGCACATGCCACAGTGTCTGTGAGGCAGAGGACAATTTTTAGGAAGTAGTCTATTCTCCCTTCCAACATGTGCATTTTTAGGGTTGAACTCGGGTTATTAGGTTTGGCTGTAGCCACTGAGCCCTCTTGCTGGCTCTCCCTTTGCATCCTTAAGGCATTCACTCTCTGCCTATCACACCTGGAAGGTGCTCAGTAGATGTTACATGAAAGAGTCAATAAATACTTGATTATTGCCTAGTGTATTATGCAAAGCCCATTCCCAGCATCCAGACTGCAGAGAACTGAACTTGGATTCTCTACAAGAGTGGTTAGTACTCTAAAATGATGAGTCTTCTTTCTAGACTTTTTCCTGATTTTTTTTTCCCCCCTAAAGCTGGGCATAGTAGCATGTGCTTGTAGTTTGGCTACTCTGGAAGTTGTGGCAAGATCTCTTGAGCTGAGTCTGGAGCTTATGCCCTTAATCCCAGCACTTGAAAATTATAAAGAGGTAGATGGATCTATGTGAGTTCAAAGTCAGCCTCGTCTACATATCGAGTTCCAGACCCACCAGGGCTGCATAGTGAGACCTTGTCTGAAAAAGGGAAGGAGAGGCAGGCAGGCAGACATACAGAGCAAGAAAGCAAGAGCACACACAAGTGTCTGATAAGTTCATTGATGTTCAAGTCTGTTTTATAGTTCAATACAGGGAAGGGACTTGAATGTTCATATCTTAAGAGATGAGACCCAGATGGCCAACAAGCACATTTAACAACAGTGGTCATCAAAGAAACTCAAGTCAGCCCATGTGAATAGCATTTCATACCGTGTGGGAGAGGAGGGTTGAGGATGTGCAGAAATCAGTTCAGGTTCCAGCTTTTGGGAATATAAATAGTACAGTGTGTAGTTAAATTGTAATATCAAATGTCCATAATACATGAATCCAGTTGGTAGAAGGGGCAGATGCTACTGGGGTTGGAGGAGGAAAAAATGGGAATGAGGTATTCTTGAGGGAGTGATGCTGGGCAATGAACCTATGGCCTTGATCACGTTAGGCAAGCAGTCTGCCACCGAGCTCATCTCCGTCCCCAATGCTGGGTTTTGTTTTGTTTTTGAGACAGCATTTTTCTGTGTATCCCTGGATGTCCTGGAACTCACTCCTGTAGACCAGGCTGCCCTTTAATTCAAGAGATCCATCTGCCTCTGCCTCCCCAAGTACTGGGATTAAAGGCATGTGCCGCCAACACCTGGCTTCTCAATGCTGTTTTAAAAGCATATTACTATTATAAAAGGGATGGCAATGTTTCCAGGTCCTACTGAAAGTACCAGCTTTGTGGCTTATGCAGTTTACAGGATGACACCACATTCACAGGTGCACGCTAAATGTCTTTGTGTGGCATCTGCCATAGTTACTACTTTACCACACACATGGGAGTGAGGTGTTCACACTTGCCCTCACCTTGCTTTAGCTTTTCTCTTGCTTCCCATCAGCAGTTCTATATGTGTGCCCCACAGTTTACCCAGGCCCATGGAGCTGTAAATCTCACACAAATATACCCATTCCTGAGTGAGTGCATAGAGAAGGGTGTGACACTGGCCCCGTGGCAGTTCCTGTGTCTCTCCTCATTCTGGTCAGCCTATGGTCAGCCTAAGGAACAGACATTGGGAGTGGACAGAGATGCTGTCATAGCCCTTCCTCTCTGTCTCAGTCTTAGAGCAGCATGCCTGGGTGCAGCCCTGTCATCACTTTTCCCTGAGCCCATTTTTACTCTCCTGCCTTGGCAGTGTTGGGTTCTTGGGCTCTGCATGAATTACTCATGCCTGGTTTATGACAGTCATGTTTCATGAAATTCATGTACTTTTTGTAGTTTTACAGCCACCTGTGTGTCTGATGGTCTTTGTTGCTGTTCCTTTTCAGTTTTTCTTAAACAATAGCTTTCATTTTCTATAACAGCCCAGACAGAGTGGATGTTATTGTCCTGGTTTGCTAGCAGAAAGATGAACCTGAAGGTGTGACTTGCCTGACACTGAGTGATCCAAGTCTGTTCTTGTCCCCCTCCCTGGACTCCAAAGCAACCACATAGATGTTTGATACCAGGAGATTTTAGGGACTTTCTTGAGAATTGTAGTGTACTTGTAGCAAGACCCCTGGTTTGCCCATCACTGTCTGTAGAATCTCTCACAGTTGTGACAACCAAAGAGTCTCCTATCCCCCTTGAGTTAAAGATATTTCTATTTTTTGTGTATGTGCTTGCATGAGTTTGTGTGCACCATGTGTATGCAGTACCCAGGGCACTGGATTCCCTGGGACTGGAGTTGCAGGCTGTTGTGAGATGCCTGCTGTGGGTGATGGGAATGGAACCTTAACCCTATGCAAGAACATAAGCAATCTTAACTGCTGAGCCATTTTTCTAGCCCTAGTTATTTATGTTAATACAGTGGGCATGCTGCTTTTCAGTTGTTTCCTCCTCCATCCTGTGGTTGTGTATGCAGATATGCAGACCTATGTATATGCACTAACAGGATACAGAAGAACACTGTGTTTCTTATCATTTATTTCTCTGAGTCAGGGTCTCTCCCTGAACCTAGAGCCCAGCTGGCAGTCTCTGCCTCTGTCTAACCCTCCCTCTTTGCTGGGTTATAGGCTTACATAGCCATACTTGATTTAATGTGGGTGTGAGGGATTTGAACTCAGGTCAGTAAGTGCTCTTCTATGCTGGATGTGACTACTCAGCACAGCAGATAAAGATGATTAGAACTGTGGCCCTGGGATTGGCAGTCAGCACCACTGTTAGTATTTCCCTTGATGATGGCTCACCCTCCATTTCACAGTTAGACTTCCAAACACACTTCTATCTGGATAGGTTTGTATGCAGTGAAGGTCCGAGCTGAAGCTATGCAAGAAGCATCTGAAGCTGTCCCCAGTGGGATGCTGTCTGTTCTCGGCCAGCGTCAGTCCAACTTCTCCCTTGCCTGCATGGAAGCCCAGGAGCACTGCAGATCCTTAGGCATAGAGAACCCGGTGTGCCAGGTGTCCAACTACCTCTTTCCTGACTGCAGGGTCATCTCAGGAAACTTTGAGGTTAGTGTTGATGGGAGCCACCCTCAGACTCCAGTCTGCTGTGGACCAGGGAGTCTGAATACCTCTGAGGTCCCAGTGGAAGAGCCAGTGCCTTGCTGAGCATGGCCTGGAGAAAATGGTCAAGGGCTGAGGGCATGTGTGGCAGTGTGAGTGCTGCAGAGGGGAGCAGAAGCCAGGCTATCACCTGCTTGTTTCTGAACCAGTTGCCTGGCTCAGGTCAAAGGACCAGACCACGCCATGTCCAGGCCTTTCCATGCTATGCCTGCAATCTGGCTGCTTGCTTTGAAAGAGGAGCAGTTTTCTGTAGCTTTGTCTGGCTTTTTTACCTGGTGTTTTCATTTATTTGTTTACCTATTTATTTATTGGATTTTTGAGACAGGCTGTCCTGAAACTCACTCTGTAGACCAGGCTAGCCTCAAACTCCCAGAGATCGGCCTGCCTCTGCTTCCTGAGTGCTGGGATTAAAGGATGCCACCACTACATGTGCACGGGCATCTGGCTTTTTCTTAAGTGTCTGATTTTTGCATTCAAGTACTCAGTCCTCTGCTGTCTGCTGCTTCTCCAAGTGTCACCTACCAAGCTATTCTGTGTACTAGCACTAGGGACACAACACCCATTAGAGTTCCTGTTGTCAAAGGAGGAGCAGTGTGACAAAGTGACACCAGTCCAGGGACACAGTAAGGGGCAGGTCAGGCACTAAGTAAAGGGGCAGGAGCCCTATGGAAGTGGCAGCTGGGACCAGTGCTACCTTGAGATGCCAAGAAAGTACAGCTAGAAGCCTTGTTAAGGGCCAGTTGTCCTGTGTCTAACTCCCTCACTGCCAGTCCACCATCTAGAAGGTGTCTTTTTCCCATGTCACAGTAAAGGAAGCTGAGATGGGAAAACAAGAACCAGAAGTTTAAGAGTCTTTCTTTGGAGCCTGTGCTGCTCTTGAACTCACAATCTAGGCTGCCTCAAGCATGTGCCACTGAAGGCCAAATTTGAGCTCCAGTACCTGGGCTGAAGGCACATACTTATAAACCCAGCCCTTGGGAGGTGAAGGCAAAACGATGTGGCCACAGAATGAGTTCAAGGCCAGCCTGGACTACCTACAACCCTGCCTCAAAAATAACATATAACCGGGTGTGATGGTTTGCATCTTTAATCCCAGCATTCGGGGAGGAGGATCTCTGAGTTCAAGTCCAGTCTGGTCTACAGAGTGAGTTCCAGGACAGCCAGGACTTCATAGTAAGACCCTGATTCAACAAAAGAAAACTGCACACACATAGTTCTCACCCTGGTGGTTTCCTTCCATTATCCAGGTCACCTTTGCTAGGAGTCTTCAGATGCCACCTCTAAAGTGTCAACTCCCTACAGAAAGACCGTTAGGACTGGGAGATGATGGTGCAAAGGTTAGGAGCACTGTTCTTGCAGAGGACCCACGTATGGTTTTCAGAACCCATATGATAGTTACCATCATCCCTAACTCCAGTTCCAGGGGATCAGGCATTCTCTTCTGTTGTCCTCAAGCACCAGCCGTGTGTGTGACATACATGCAGGCAAAACACTGGTGTACACAAAAATTAAATAAATCTTTAAAAAGAGGACATACCGCTGAGCATTGACTCTATAACCAAGTTAACTAGAACTGAAAAAGTGGACTAAGGTTGGAGCTGAAGAGTTTGTGGGCTACATGTAGTAAGGCACACTTGTAATCTTAGCACTCAGGAAGCTTAGGGAGCTTAGGAGGATTGAGAGTACAAAGCTAGCCTGACCTCTGTACAATGGCCTTGTCTCAAAAGCCAGGCAAGGGCTGAGAGTGGTAGAAGTCTTGCTTGACACACAGATCCTTGGGTTCCATCCCAGCACACCCCCTGACCCCACCCCCACATACGATGCCAGCAACAGTTGAAACCTTTGCATCTGTGAGATTCCTCCTGTTTTTCCCATCAGGCCCTGCAGTTTCTCCGGAAGAATTCTGCTAAGTATCACTTCAGGCGCACCAAAATGTTGCCAGTGAGTGGTGGCTTCCATACTTGCCTCATGGAGCCAGCCGTGGAGCCCCTGGTGAAAATTCTAGGCACCATTAACATCAAGAAGCCACTGGTTGCTGTCCACTCCAATGTCAGTGGGCATAAATACAAGGATCCCCAACACATCCGGAGGCTGCTGGGGCAGCAGGTGGTATCTCCAGTGAAGTGGGAACAAACGATGCACTCTATCTACAAGCGGAAGAAGGGCACTGAATTCCCCAGCACCTTTGAGGTGGGTCCTGGGCGGCAGCTGGGAAGCATCCTGAAGAACTGCAATGGACAGGCATGGAAGTCCTACAGCCACGTGGATGTGATGCAGACCAACACCGATCCTGACCACCGAGGGTCTTGAATGAATGGCCTCAGGGTGAGTCTCTGTACCTGCCCCTTTTCCTCAGACTGGAGGATAGTGGTCACTGCAGCCTCAGTTGTGGCTAAGGCTTCCCTCAGAGCATCGCTCTTGAGTGCCACATCGCATGACTCGACCCATCCCTACACCTGACAATATATGCTGCTGGGGGAAAGAATTCCTATGCAGATGATCTGCCTCTGCACACAACCATGCCCTTCAGTGAATCCAGGAAGGGCTAGCCTGGGGCAGCCTTAGACTTGCCATGTTGGTGCTGTGGACGCGCTGCTTGGCTTCAAACCAGGCCTGGTGCCAGGGGGACATATCATCCTCTCCCCATGTCCTGCTGTTCACCCAGGGCCCAGGTCATAGCTTCTTTGGCCTTCAATCTGTCTGATGGCCTTGGCAACCACTTTGTCCTCTCCTCACTAGCCAGCTGGGAGATTGAGTGCCGTATACAGTAGATATCCAAGAAGCACTTATTAAGTGCCTCCTGTATGCTCTAGAGTGGGTGGTCCCTCATAGAAGAAACTTGGAGCATGATGTAAGGTATGGAATGTATCTGGGCAAGAAGGATGGCCTGAGACCCTGACTGCACCAGGCCAGCCCAGTTTATCCATGGAGAAACCCCCACCACCAAGTCATCCATGGGACAGTGGTGGCTGCAGAATCAGGTGTCTATGGTTTCCCTCACAGCACAGCTGCTCCGCAGCAGGAGTGGAGAGAAGCTCCTGAGAGGACACAAAATAAATGTGAGCCTTTCTAAGCTGCTGGCTGGCTTTGTCATTCACTGATGCTGGGGTATCTTGGGAATGGAGCCCAGGAACCTGTTTTGTTGTTAGGAAGACCTGTACCTAATCTGGGTAGCTTTCACAGCAGGGCTCTTGTCAGACTCTGGACAGGACCTGTCCTATTGCCCAACTGTCCCATTCTTGTGCAGCTGTGCCAGTGGCCCTTGCAGGCCTTGTGACCTAGATGGCCTGTGGATTTCAACATGAGTGCAGTTGTAGTTTCACCACCCTGAGTGAGCACATCTATCCCAGCTGAGGCTTTAGCTCCTGAGTTTGACGTCAAGCAGGCAGAATAGCCTGTCTGTAAATGAGTAGGATTCTGGAAAGCTGTCAACATTTGCTTGTAGGGAATTGGCTCCTGTGGTTGCCTCTTTGGGCCCCAGGTCTGGAGCATTGTGGTCTGCCTGTCCTCAGGGCAGGTGTCACCTTTCCCAAGCCCAGCATGGGGTCAACCTGAACCAGGGCATCCCATCCAATGTGGTCACATGACAGACCCCAGGTGCTCCCACAGCCTAGTCACCTGAGGGAAGTTGCTCTACTGTCCCAGAACCCTCCATCCCTCCTTGGGCCTGCTACAGGGGAGTTTGCATGTGAAGATTCTCAGACCAAAGCTGCTGTGGCAAACATGACAAGTGTCCATCCCCACTCTTGAGCACTGAGGGGCAATCCTAGTTCTACTGTTAACAAGGACTGATTTCACTGAAGACTGAACCTGGCGCAGCTTGTGGTTGGGCTCTGGTGTTTAGTTTTGTGTCTTGAAAGAGGAGTACCCAAAGTAGGTGTCCTTTGTTCTCTGAGCAACATTCATAGACACTTTATGAAGCCTGGGGCAATGTGACAGGATGGAAGGTGACACTTACTGGGCTGATGCCAACTCACAGAAGTAACGAAGGCTTTGGAGCTGAGGGAAGTCCAGAGAAGCTAGCTTTGGTCTGCATCCTGAGAAGGGAGTGGGGTTGTTCTGGGTGTGGCCTCAGGTTACCACTGCCTGGAGTGAGGTTCCAGCCTGAGGATCATAACTGCCTTGCTAAAGAGAGGGTCTAAAACCTGTGGCCACAGACAAGAGGCTCGCTGAGGCCCAGGGGGCATAAGTAGTCTGTGGGAAACCTGGTGGGAACTGGCACTTGTGATGTCCACCACCTTTGCCCAGTCCAGGAAGGTGCTTTCCTCCCGTGTCTAGTACAGAGCTCATCCTGCTGCTGCCATCTCTCCAACCCTGCTGGGGGACTCCCAGCCACAGTAGAGTTAGCTCCTGTCCCAGCAATAAGCCAGCCCTGACGGCCACCCCTGCGTGGTCACTGCCCTGTTGGCTGAGATCCCACCAACTAGTCCCCTGACCCTTGGTCTGGATGCCAGGTTGCCCCATCCCCCAAACTGACTTCCCAGGAAGGTTTTGCTCTGTGTTACTATACTCCCCGGAAGGACACTGAGGCTTCAAGGTAAGGCCAAGATGGTAACGGGCACACAAGACTGCAGAGGGACTCAAAATCACCCCACCCACACCTGGAAAATTTGGGACAACTCAAGCCCCCTGAATCACTGTTTGGTGTCTGATGGGAACAGGCAAAGTTCCAGGTGGAGGTCCTGGCTGATCTAGAAAGAGAATGGGCCAGGCCAGGGGGAGGTACTAAACCCATGATGGGAGTCTGGCCCTCCTCCCCCTGCTCCTTGTGCAGCACACCCCAACACCACAGCTTTCTGTGAGACCTGCACCCCTCCCCCACCTCCCCATACACACGGAGGTGAGCAGACTTCCCCATTAGGATTACAGGCAGAAGGGGACAAAATGGTGCTGAGGATCTGGGCATGGTGGCACAGAGGCAGGGGCAGGCAGAGCTCTGAGTTCGATGCCAGCCTGGTCCACATAGTGAGTTCCAGAACAGCCAGAGCTACACAGAGAAACCGTATGGGGATGGGATACTTATGGCCCTTTGGTGCAGGCAGGTTGCAGAGGACTGGGGCAGAGGCCACCCCTCTCCCTCCCCCATCTATATCCAGTGTTGTGACAGTCCCCAGAGGACCTAAGGGGAGGGTGGCTGCAAATAACACTTTATTGAATGCTTCTGAAAACAACACTTGATTCACTTTATTGAACTCTCCACCCCAAGGAATCTAATCCAGTAGATTCTGTGCCTCAAGGCTTCCCAAACAGGGGTGTGGCCAGCACTCCCCCTACTGGTGGCCACAGGACCAGCCTGCAGAGAGAAAGGCAGGCAGGGGTCAAGAGAGGGGCCAGCCAGGCCTCAAGGGCATTTAGCCAGTAATGCCCCTGAGATATAGTGAATTCATTTGCCTTACAAAAAAAAAAAAAAAAAAAACAGAAAACCTGTATGAAATCTCAGCACTATCCTGAGTTAAATATAAAAAAGGGGACAGTTAGAAAACACCACAGTTAGGGTGCCGGCACCTCTAGGGGGTGATTGAGGGGCAGGGACCGGCCCTGACCCTGCTGGGCTTCACTGAAGCTGCAAATGTAAAGCCTCCCCCAGCAGCAAGAGGACCAACAGCACCATGGGAAACAGCTGTCCTCGGGCCTGGTCAGGTGACACCTGTGAGACCAAGAGGGAAGGCAGAGTGAGGACCAGGGACCACCTGGGGTGAGGAGACAGCTCCTGGGGACTGGGAACAAACACCTATGCACAAGTGGGGGATCTGGGACACAGGTGAACATGGCATCAGCCAGAGGGGATGAGCTGGGAGGTGGCCCTGAAACCATGGCTGAGAGAGGGTTCTGTCTGCCAGAGGACAATCTGCAGCAGAGACCAGAAGGCGCTATTGAGTGTGTACTGGAACCTTGTTGAGTTTGAGGCTAGTCAAGTGGCTGTTGCACACACTAAGGCTTCTGAGATGGGGCAGAAGTGCAAAGAGGTGGGGAAGATGCTATAGAGAGGGGTGGAGACTGTGGCAAACCAGGCAGCACAGCTAAGGAGCTGCTGGCTGCCCTACGGGCAGGGTAATGTAGACTAGAGGTGTCAAGGCTCTTACCCAGGTGCCAGGAGTCAGGACTCTCCAGGACCAGATGTTTTCCCTGAGGTTGGTGAGGCCTCGAATCAGGCTTCTGAAAATCCCCCTCACACCCACCTGGCTGTAGGAGACAGCGAGTCTGTAAGATATGGGATGGGCAAGGTGGTTACTGTAGCAGTAGACACTGGACACCTACAATGTGTGACTTGTTACAGCATGGTGCACAGAGCCTCTGCGCCTCTTAGACACCCTGCTCTCTCCACTAAGAAAGCCATCTCTTCCCAGACTGCCTTCTGGGTCTCTACCCAGAGCAGGCCACAAGGAATATCCACTCTGAAGGCCCCTGAGTAAGTCGTTACCTACATCTGTCTTCTTGGGAGACCAAGTGAGGGGCTGCCTCTGGGGCCAAGCCCACACTGCCCTGGCAGTTGGGACCTCTCAGGACTGTCCAGCTTGATGAAGGTCAGCAGAAAGACCCTGGGTGATGCTTGATCTACTGCTAAGGCCAGAGGGAAGGTTTGGGGACCCAGGTGGGTGCAGGGAAGCAATGGGTTTCAAGCTTGCCTGGGAACTCCCACACTTCTTCAAGGTTTGCAAGGTGCCCTTATACTGGTTCTGGCTCCACCTGTCTCCCTGGGCAGCTGGTTACCTGTGCATGGCAATCCCAGGCAGCTGGGCCAGGCGGGGCCCCTGAAGACACAGGTCCATCTCATCACCAATGTAGGCCAGCCTCAGGGCCACCTGGTCTCTGCAGGAAGACACCAGGAAGTTTGGTGGGGTTGTGCTGAGGGGCCATGCCACCCACCCAGCCCAGCCCAAATCCTGTGGGACCCACGGCCCAGACAGAGGAGGCAGTGGAATACTGGGGCCAGCAGCAAACCTTGGTGTCTCTCTCATCCATGAGTACACTTTTGAGTAAAGACCACTTCAAATGTGCTCCTACAGGACAGTCCACAGTCTACTAAGACATCAGCCTGAGGGGCCGACAGGGGATCTACCCCAGCCTGTACCACATGTCCACCTCTTGTGGAACTCAACCACGCATTAATGCTAGGAGTGTCTCATGAACCTGCCTGGTAACCAGGGACAACGTAGCCCAGAAAGACCATCACCTGACCTTCCCCCATAGAGGACCTGGGGGAGAGGGCTACATGTTGGCACATGGTAAGGAGGAGCACTGGAGATGCTCTGAGCCCTCTTCAGTTGGCTTCCTACAGGCTCTCAGTTTATCTTCTGGCTCCAAGACCTGCCCCCGGTTCCCAGGCCTGAAACACTTGTATCCTTACTCTTTGGTCATGGTGTTTTGTCACAGCATTAGAAACCCTGACAAAGACACAGACACACTGAAACCAGCCAGATTAAGCCCTTTCTGGGGTTGGCCTGAACATTCCATACCAGTGACTCAATAGCTCACTGGAAAGTCCCTGCAGAGGCTATCTCGGGCTATCTGGCCTGCCCAGCCCAGCCCTGGCCACCTGCACCACTGACCCAGTGTCCCAGGTCTATTCCTGGTTCTAATGGTGACAAGAGTGTGACAAGCCTGAAAGGTCATCTGACAACCGGGTTGGGAAGTTTTGGTCCCACCTATGCTCTGGGAGACCCCAGGAAAATACTGTCCCAGGTTTCACCTCACTCAGGAATGGAGTAGGAAGTGAGGAAACAGGCATCCAAACAGCCCCATCCTAACTCCACAATCAGAGTGACAGAGAACCTTGAAGCTGAGAATACACATGGAGAGACTGCTGACGTGCCTGTGTGCAAGACTCACCATGGCCAGTATGGCTGTTCTTTTTCTGCTGGCAGGTGAGCGTGGTCTCATGGCCTGAGCAGGAAGGGATGTTGCCTTCTCTATCTGGACACAGTGGCAACAACAAACATGCCAGCTACTAGTGAAACTAGATGGCCCAGATTGCAGTGTGCTGGTCAGGAACACTGTGGGGTGCTGAACCTCCTCAACCCCCACCCCACTCCAGCTCTATATATAAGGTGCTGTTTCAAACCATGTCCAGAGGAGGGCACTGGTCAGTGTCCCTACCTGGCCTCCAGGCACTCCACGAGGTCCAAGTCTCTCATGGGACTGTTTTCTTCTTCCACAGGCTCCTTCATGTTGGGAGTCCCAGGAGCCACTGGAGGTCGGGGAACCTGGTCATGCAGGACAGTCTTGATGAGGTCTCTGGCCATGAGTCTTGTCTCTGACATGTTCTCTGTGGTATAAAATAGGCTAGTGTGACTAGAGTGCTTAGAACCATGCAGTGGGAGCTCCTGGGGCTCAGAACACCAGACCAAAATAGGTACTTGGAATGGAGGGTACAATGGAGTTCATGCAAGGACTTAAAATTTCAATGTTCCTGACCCTCCTCTGCCCTCAGAATGAGCTGCCATCACCAAGGCCCTTCACACAAGCTGGACTACCTCTCCCAAAGCAAGCCATAAAACTTCTAGTCCCTCTGTCCCTGACCCTTGAAGATCAGGAAGCTCAAAGAATCTAAACAGACTCCTAATTGCCCCCACCCAAGTCTGTCCAAGAGCTGGGAGAAAGTTTGCAAGGACCTGACTTAGGATCTCCAGAACTCAAGGCTGAGCACAGTGCCACATGCCTAGAACCCAGTGCTGGCGAGCTGGAAATAGGAGGCTCCCTGGGGCTTCACTCTGTAGATCAGGCTGGTCTTGAATTCACCCAGATCAGCCTGCCTCTGCCTCCTGGGTGCCAGAATTAAAGGCGTATGCCACTACCACCTGGCTTGTTGATAAACTTAATGAGCAAAAAATTGCTCAACTAGAAGTAAAGCAGTCGACCATCAAACAAATCCAAGATGCAGTTTACATGGAAAAGGCACACCAGGCACTTGTTCTGAAGCTCCATTACCTCTTTGACATTCAGAGGAGTAATACTGCCTTGGCCCTGGAAGTTACTTACCGGGAACAGCTATATAGAATGTGTAAGGAGGTAGAATGAACTGGACTATTGTATTTCTGCACAGGACATGATGTGTTGCAAGGGGCAAGACAACATGATAAACTGGGTGGAGAAGCATGTGTTGCAGAGCATCTCTGTGCACGGCAGGTATGGAGACAACTACCAAGTGCATTATGGATCTAAAGCCACTTGTAAAGAGGGCTCAAGCTCAACATGTTATATGAATATATCTATCTTAATTGAGGCAGGGAAAGTTAACTAAAGGAGAACGAGTGTGATAACTCTTCCTGTATGCTGTCTCTTGCAATTACAGTGTACCCTTCCTAAGAAGTGATCACGGCTCATTTAGTGGCTTAAACACACTGGCCGGTTGGCAGGTGTTGCTGATCCTTGCTCTGCATCTGAAATTGTCTGGTGATCACTTTTGAATATGCAATTTGCAGCAACTTCTGCTGCTTGCCTAAAATGAACACATTATTAACTTGTAAGTAGTTAATATCATCTTACAATAAAGTGACAATTCAAACAAACAAAACAAAAAAGGAAAGGAACAGTCCAGGACAGGGCAGCTCCCCTCCTGACTGTCATGAATGTAGGGGTGAGGGCCCAAGCTGCAGTAGCCAGTCAGAGACAGTAGACAGGTGGTAGAGAAAGCCTGGCCCAAGGAGCAATTATAGGACCACCACCTGCCTATGGTTCAAATTCCCAGTTACCAATTCCTGTGGTCAGAAGCTTCTGGAACCCCCACAGTGATGACTCACACTTCAGTAATGGTTCCATCTCCACTGAGGCAGGCTAGGTGGGACTCTGTTACTGACTCACCATAGTGAACCCCACACAGGACCAGGTGGCCTTGGGTCCATGGCATCAAGGCAATGATAAGTGTGGATCTGGACTAACAGCCCAACTCCAGTGCTGGTGTACAAGCAGGAGTGCAAGGCCAGTCTAGGAGATACAGACAGTTCCAATGCAGCCAAACCTTAGTGTGACACAGAGACCTTGTTTAAAAAAAAAAATGCTGGTTGGTAGTGACACACACCTTTAATCCCAACACTTGGAGGCAGAGGCAGGTGGATCTCTGTGAGTTTGAGGCCAGCCTGGTCTACAGAGTGAGTTCCAAGACAACAAAGACTACACAGAGAAACCCTGTCTTGAAAATCCACAAAAAAGTGGGTAGCATTGAGCAGCTCCACATAAGAAGCCAAAATTCAAAACTTTGAGCCCCAATATCACACTACATGTATGAGTTTAGAGTATAGAAACTTTCACTTAATATTCCATATAAATTAGCTTCACCTCTTATGTGAAAGGGCATAGGAGAGATACCTGAATTTCATGAGTAGAGTCTGACCTCATCTCCAAGACAGTTAGTGTGTGTGTGTGTGTGTGTATGTGTGTGTGTGTGTGTGTGTGTGTGTGTGTACAAGTGTGCATGAAAAGATTAGAGGTCAATGTTGGTGACTTCCTTGATTGTCCTCCACCTTGTTTTTTTAAAACAGGGTCCTTCACTTAGACCTGGAGTCATTTCTGCTAGCCTGACTGGACAGTTAAGTCCCAGAGAGCCTCCTGTCTCGGCTGCCCCTTATCCATGGTTGCAGGCAAGCACAGCCGCCTTGACTTTCTGTGTCAGTGTTGAGGATACCAACAGCCATATCTGCACCCCAGCCCTCAATGTATTTTATTATATATAAGCAGATGGTATCTCAAATCCAAAACACTCTGGCACCCACCCTGAGACTGTACAAAGGTCATGCTGGCTTGAGCCTGCTTCCCTACACTGCACTAGGCTATGTTCAGAGTGTGTGTAGATTCCTTTATTTCTCACCTCCCAACAACTAGGTGGCGGGTAGTGCACTTGTCTGGCATGCACAAGACCCTGGTTTCATCCCTAGCGACACACACTGACACACAAGAACCAACCTAGACGTGATTTTCTGTTCAAAGAGAACACCAGGTTTTGGGAAAGTTCATGCCTGAGCTAAGAATGGACAGTGACCCAAGATTTCTTGTTCCTAGGACAAGACAGATCAATGACCATTGTCAAATGACCACTGACTGCAGGTACCCTGCACAAAACCGTCCTCCCGAGGACACCCAAGGCTAAACACTGAAGTGTCCCACTGATCATTCATTCCCTGTGCTAAAGAAAGATGGCACTCGGGGGATTAAAACATAAGCTGGGACTCTCCAGGTGTCTCAGGGCTGACTTGAGACAGACGACTGTCAGCAGTGCACCCCAAATGGTCATGATCAAGGAGCCGAGTGCACACGAGGTGACATCATCAGCTACCACAGGAGGTATGGGGGTGTGGTGAACACCAGGTTTTGCGAAGCCATATAAGGACAGCATTGTTCTTCCTTCCAGAAGTGGAAAAAGAATACCCGTCCAGAGTTTCTGTCTCAACAAAGAGGTGGCTGTCTCCCCTCCTAAGAGGAAGGCACAGGGGAGGTTGACATCTGTTCCCAACAAAGACAGCTCAAGTCTCACAGGAGCCGGGCTGCAAGGATGAGAAGCATAAACAGCCACAGCAGCCGCACCTGCCAGGCAACACCTTTGCCTGGAGCCAGAAGCTGTGGGCTGCAGCAGGAGGGAAGAGGGTTCCACCTGCTCAGCACACCTGCAGGCAGAGCTGCAAAGCTATAAGGTGGGAACAAGCGCCCCCCACCCTGCAGGCTATTACCTGGTGAAGAAGCCAGGCAGAGTCACTTGGCATCACCCGTGTGCTCACACAGACTCCTCAAAACTCTTGACATATTTGTTCCAAGGAGTGCTTGGCAGCAGTTAAAAAACAAAAAGGGAGATCAAGGATTTGCAATATAGAGATACCAACAGGTCTTTAGCCAGCTTGCCTGGAAGCCACTCAGCCGGGATGGGTCACAACAGGCCCTTTCCCAGCCTGAACTTGCATTTCATAGGAGCCATTCCCAACACTGGCCAGCAGCCAGCAATGCCACCATCTCCTAGGGGCAGCCTGACTTCACTGACCATGTCAATGTATTGCCAATTTACTGAGAAGCAGAGAGAAGAATACAGGGCTCACAGAGAAGGGAGGATGCAGAAGCCACAGATGTCCTACACTGAGGTCTCTGACGCAAGGGCAATGCTCAGCATGAACACCCAGGGAGCACCTTCCTTCCCCCTAAGCCTCCTCCAACAAGTCAGCAGGTATGTGTGTCTATGCAACATCACAAGACACCCACTCATGGTATTGTGGAATGTCAGAGTGGACCGACAGAGGTCATACACAAAAGTCACTAGCTCCACACACCAGGCAAAAATGATGTCACTGACCATGGTGGCATTCACCTTTAATCCCAGCACTCAGGAGGCAGAGGTAGAAAGATCTCTGTGAATTGAGTCTGGCCAGCCTGTTCTACATAGTGAGTTCCAGGCCAGCCAGGGCTACAGAGTAAGATCTTGTCTCAAAATAAATAAATAAATAAATAAATAAATAAATAAATAAATAAATAAAATACAGTTGAACATGAGAACATTTTTACAGTAACAACAACCAAAGTAAATAAATAAATACATTTTTTTAAAAGGAGGTTTCAGGTCAAGTTATCCTTGTAAAAGCTTCAAAGAGAAACCCTAAAACTCATACCTAAAGGGTGTGAAAGAAGAGGCAGGGCGATGGCACAAGTTGTAATCCCCCCACTCAGGAGGTGGAAGCAGGAAGATCCAGAGGTGAAGGCCAGCCTGGTCTACACAGCAAGTTAAAGGACATTGTGAGCTACCTGAGGCTTCATCTCAAAACACTAAAAATAAAATAATAAACAACATTAAAGATGCAGATAAAGAGAGAGACAGACTTCCTTATGGCCAAGATGTCTTGGCATGGTACAGACTAAAAGCAGTATGCATGTGCGTGCGTGCGTGCGTGCGTGCGTGTGCCTGCACTTATGTGAGTGGGCATGCGCACGCATGCCTATTAGGTGGTCCTTATAAAATTGTGTCCAGAACCTCTCCTGCCCAGAGGCTCAGGGCAGTGGTGACTCAACATGCAAAGCCATTTCCCTGAGAAAGCAGACCAGGCCCTCATTTGCATCTGTCCCCTCCTCTTCCTTGTCTCCCCAAACCCAGCCTCAACCTCTGCACTTTCGCCTCCACACTGGGCTTTTACCACCTCAGAGCAGACCCTGTTCCCAAGCTACTCCCAGGCCAGGGCCACAGTGGGATGGAACTTCAGCCTGGAAGCTGGACACTGGCCTTCACCTTGATCCTTGGTTCTGAAAGCCTGAATTCTCAGGATCCCTGGCACCAGATGGCTGCTGACACCAGAGGCC